TATTCGATGAACAGTAAAACTATTCATTATAGATGATATCGTTATGACAGCGGTAAGTACAAGCTACCAAGATCGCGATGTCGACCTTGCTTAAGGGTCTCATCGTGTTTCCATCTGTTTGATTTTTTATTCTTTTATTTTATTTTGTTATAATGTTACATATGTTTTAGGAAGTGTTAGGTCAATGTGTGAATGTGTTTTTTTTGTCAAATGAGTGGATTTTTTTGTGAAGTTTTCTTGTTGGATTTGTTTCAGCAGTCTGTTTTTTTTGGCCTTGTTGGGATTTGAATCGTGATGACACTGATCGCCGTGTGAATCGCTGTATCGTGGTTGTAAATTGTTCTTGTTTTTATCGAAGCGGCTTTCTGAAAAAGAAAGTTTTGTGCTTAGAGGCGGTTTTATTTGGTTAAATGTTTTATGGTTCAAATTTCTCTTATTAGTTTTAGTTTTTATGTGTGTTGTTTACCTGTTGTTTGACTGCTTGAAGTTTGATTTGGTATATTTTTAGTATTTGGAAGGTATTCAAATGATGCCTGTGTTGATGGTTGAGGCGGTACCTGGGTAGGTATGCCATTTATTTCGTTTGCCAGAGCTTGTAGATCTTGTTGAGTGACTGGTGAAGTTTTGTGTATTGAATAGAATAAATGATATTTTTTTCAGTTCTTTCCTTAGTAAAAGTTTAACTTTACCTAATTCTTCCAGTTTTGGTCGATATTCACGAATAGCTTCTAGCATTTCGCATTCTTCTTTTGTATAGTATCGGCGTCCAAGGTTGGATATGGTGGATTCGACATTTTTGGACGAATATGTTGTGTTATTAAGTTGATAGATATAGGTGTTTATATCTGAAAAGAAGAGGTTTTTTTTCTTTATTCATATTTATTTTAGCAAAAGGATGCTTTTAGCAAACTGTAACAATGGGTTCATAATAGTTCCCTCGACTGAAAGGAGGGGCATGTCGAAAAAAGGTGGTCAAAAGACGGAAAACAACAGAGATAAAAACGAAAACTAATAAGGGAGATTTG